AAGATTCCATGTCAGTTCGGGAGAGGGGAGGCTACATAGTAAACTGTTGTACTCTACATAAATAGTGGCCACTACTCTCTCAGAGGAGATTATATTTTCCTGCCGCATCAACATCCGTTTAGTGACTCACATGTGACTTGTATCGGCCAAAGAATAGTTAGCAAGTGTGACCTATATCCATTACTCCTGGACAAATGTGTTTAGTACATACTTGTCTGTGTTCTTTTTTTTCTGTCTGCCAAATCAGCAGTACCTCACAAAGCGGCTTTTTTTATCAGCCTCAAGCCAGAATAGACATGTAGCATAAGTTTTAAAAAGCCAATTCATTGTTGTAAAGCAGAAGTTGCCAGTCATGTACTACTTTGTGTCCTCTGCCTCCCCGTCCTGCCTCCTAACCTCCACTCCTATGCTGGAGACATTTAGCAGTATCTGATGACATTTTTGGTTGTCACAACTAGGGCATTGAAACTGGCATCTGGTGGTAGAGACCAGGTATACTGCTAAATATCCCACAATGCACAGGACAGACCCTCACAACAAAATTATCTGGCCAAAAATGTCACTAATGTTGAGATTGAGAAGCCTGTTATAAGCTTCTGGGATTGTTTATAACTGGGTTATTAGGATAATGTAACCTATCCTGACTAATACAGCAACTACCACAATTAATTTTATGATAACTAATGTAGAAATAACTGGGCTTAACCATCTTAATGTCTTGGTTATTAGGAAAACAGGTTTGAAAGAAATCCAGAAGAAAAAATGTAGATATCATACTATAGCATAAGGTTTTAAAGGTGACTCAGATGGCTCAGTCGGTTGACCATCCGATTCTTGATTTCAGTGCAGGTCATGATCTCAGAGTTTTAAGATGGAGCCCCAAATCGGACTCCATGCTGGGCATAGAGCCAGCTGAAGATTATCTCTCCCTCTCCTGCTCTCTCTCTCTCTCTCAAATTAAAAAAAAAAAAAAAGATTTTGAAGGTTACTCAAAAGATTCAGAAGCTATCAGTTCCACAACTGTTACTGTGCAGTTGCAAATATTCCAGATAAATAAAAACTAAATAGGTCTAAAACTAGTATGGTTGTACATTGAATTCCCCAGGGAGCTCACATATTAAAATAAAGAAGGTTTGTAATCAAAGATAAATATGCATCTTTCATGGTCCTCTAAAAATAGCATTTAAAAAAACCTAAGTTCAAAATTAACATAATTGAGACCTACAGAAAATGCTAAGATTTCCAAAGGGCTTTGTGCTTGTTTTAGTTGTATTAGCAGCAAACCAAGCAAGAAATGTGTCTCTTATTGGATTCTTATGAACTTATACAGAAAGCAAAACAACACATTCCCTCGTGGCCCCAGCTGGATTACCTGTTTCCTGTTCTTCCATGATAGCTGATTCTCCAACATCTGTTTTTGAGGCAGTGAACTTTTATAAACTTTGCCTATACTTACAGTAGCAGAGGCAATTACTGCTCACCTTTGTGGCTTGGAATTGCCTCAACTTCCAAAGCTTAGAAATGATAGATTTTGGATATACCTGTCCCTTCTTAATAGAACTACACAAAGATGGAATGCTATACTTCAGGGATAGTGATTATCAGTAGTTAAATGTTTTCAAGCAAAGCTCAGAGAGCCACTTAGTGTCTATTCTTTTCTAATCCAGATGGCCTGTAATTCTAAATTTAAAACTCTGGATTAAGGTTAAGAACAGATTTTTGATCAGGTGTCTCTCAACGTCTAATAAATGTTAGCCATATCTAAAGCAAGATACTAAGAAATAAAGATGCCAGTCATTCAGGGGCTCAGTCAATTAAGGATCTGCCTTTGGCTCAGGTCATGATCTCTGGGTCCTGGGATCAAAGCCCTTGTTGGACTCCTTGCTCAACGAGGAGTCTATTTATTTATTTCTCCCTCTCCCATTGCCCCTCCCTTCTGCTCATGTTCTCTCTCTCTCTTTCAAATAAGTGAATACAATATTAAAAAAAAAAAACTCTCCCTTGAAACTTCTTTCTTTGAGAATAGGAAGGGTAACTGCAGGGTCCTGGTCAGAGTCCAGCTCTACTAATTGTGTAGCCTGTGAGAATTTCCTCTCAAGGCTGTCTTGTCCACCTGTCCAAAGCTGTGTGTTTCATTCCCTGTCATCATATCTGAGTCACCAAATCCACATTCCGAATTATCTGCTTGGTCATTATAGTTTCCCCAAGTTCACAGAAGAATTACTAAGATGTGGTCAACAAGCAGTGTTAGTGTGACAAAATCTGTTTGTACATTTACTTCTCACCAGCTGAGTAAGTGGTAGGAAATTTAGTAAAAGTAGAAGCTATTAGTGAATTTCTGTTTTCTCTTGCTGTAATTCACACCAAATCATATCTGATGTTTTCTCTTTTAATGATATAATGAAGATGAGGCATACAGTATTTGGGGTGCGCTCTTGAATTATTACAGTTTTATTAATTTTTTAGAGAGTGAGAGCATGCCCATACTTGCATGCCCTCGACTGGGGAGAGGGACAGAGGGAGAGACTCTCCAGCAGACCCTGGCCAATGGGAGAGCTGGAGGTGGGGCTTGGTCTCACAATCCATGAGGTCATGACCTGAGCCGAAATCTGGAGTCAGTTGCTCCAGATTTATCCACTCAGACACCCTAGAACGTGCAACTCTTGATCTTGGGGTCAGGAGTTTGAGTCCCACATTGAGTGTAGAGCTTACTTTAAAATTTTTTTAATTGAAGATTAAAATATATGTTATGAATTTCTGATTTTTCATTTGTTGTAATATATATTTCTTAATTTTATCTTTTTTAAATTTTTTTAAAAGATTTTATTTTTAGAGCACAAGCAGGGAGAACGGAAGAAAGAGAGGAAGGGGGAAAGAATCCCAAACAGATTCCCCACACAGATCCTGGGCAGAGGGCTTCCATCTCATGACCCCCAGATCATGACCTGGGTAGAACCAAATTGGACCCTCAACCAGCCGATCCACCCAAGCACCTCAGTTTTGTGCCTTCTTAATAATGCTTGCTACCTGCCCCACAAAAAAGAATCACCAAGTCACAGAATAATACAGATAGCAAATAAACATAAAAGTTAAATATTACTAGTAACTGAAAAAATAGAAATTAAAATATAAAGCTACTATTTTCCTTTATTGAAAGTTTTTTGTTGTTTTCTTATTATAAAAGTGTAACACATCTTCATTGTAGAAAATAAGAAAATACCAGACAGAGAACAGAAGAAATCATAGTGGCAGCATAATTAACATCTCATGTAGATGCCAATCTTTTTTAATTCATGTCTAAGATTTTTTATCCATGTTTAACAGTTGTCTCCTATTGACATGACTTGAATTTTTGTTATTTTAGGTAATGCTGCAATAAACACCCTCTGTGGTAATCTTTTTTGGTTTGGGGGTTGTTGGGGTTTTTTTTGTTTTTTGCATCTCTGGCAGTTCGTGGTTGGTAGAATTGCCAAGGCTGGGTCAAAGCATGTGGCATTTTTAAGGGTTTTAATGATCTTTCCCCAAGTTACTGACCAGAAAGGTTCTATCAGACATAAGAGAATACTGGCTTATGCAACTTCTAATCCATGTTGTTTGTGTTGTTTTCTTACTTTTATATTTTAATAACTCCAAAATGCTATCTCATTGTTTCAGTTTTTACTTTTTTGATTAATGATCAGAACATTTTCTTTTTTTTTTTTTTTTAAGTAGGCTCCATGCCCAGTGTGGAGCCCATTGTGGAGCTTGGACCCATTACCCTGAGATCAAGACCTGAGCTGAGATCAAGAATGGGACAGTCAACTGAGTCACCTAGATGCCCCAATAATCAGGACATATTTTACATGTCCTACCAAAATACTATAAGTTAAAGAAAAATCTTCATTGCCAAATTATTTACAAGAAAACAAACAAAAGACACACACTAAAATGCTCAACAAGAGAAAAGCAGTTAGATAAAAACTGTTACTTTTAAACAATAAACTATGCAGGTATTAAAACATTCAGTATTGGGCCACCTGGCTGGCTCAGTCAGTGGCATATGTGACTCTTGAACTCAGGGTTTTAAGTTCAAGTCCCATGTTGGGTAGAGAGATTTTTATTTTTTTTAATTAAGTATGCAAAGTATACTAACATCGGAAAAAAATTTATAATATTAAGTAAAACATTACAATGGTAAATTTTTATGTGTAATTTGATCTACTGTACTCCATAAACATGGAAGAAAAAAATCAGAAAGAAAATATGCCAAAATGCAATTGCTTCTGCATGGTGATAGATTACTTTTAATATCTCATAATTTTTAATACTTGCCACATTTTTTATAATTAACATACCACATTTGTGAAGAAAACACATTTCTGGGGGAACCTGGGTGTCTCAGTGGTTGAATGTTTGCCCTGGGCTCAGGTTGTGATCCCGGGGTCCTGGGATCGAGTCCTGCATCAGGCTCCACACAGGGAGCCTGCTTCTCCCTCTGCCTATGTCTCTGCCTCTCTCTCTCTGTGTCTCTCATGAATAAAAAAATAAAATCTTTAAAACATATTTCTGTTAAATATACTGCATATATGGTGCAAGAGAGGAAACTGTCCATCTGTAATTTGTGTATCATGTATTATTTTTTTTTAATATTTTATTTATTTATTCATGAGAGACACAGACCTAGAGAGAGAGAGAGAGAGGCAGAGACACAGGCAGAGGGAGAAGCAGGCTCCATGCATGGAGCCCGACGTGGGACTTGATCACGGGACTCCAGGATCACACCCTGGACCAAAGGCAGGCACTGAACCGCTGAGCCACCCAGGGATCCCCTGTATCATGTATTCTAAAAATAATACAAAATATTTGATTTTGAAACAGATAACATAAACAAGATTCTGGTAAGCAGTTAAATAGCCACTTGTTAAAATGTTAAAAGTTCCACTTCCTCGAGATGCTGACAATTGTTGGAATCCCCTGAAAATGTAAAATGTGAAATTGTTCATGACTTTTTTCCTTTTTAGGTTGCTGCTGTTGATCTTCTGGTTCCTGGAGTTGGAGAGCTCTTTGGAGGAAGCCTCAGAGAGGAACGGTACCATTTCTTAGAGCAGCAACTGGCCAGGTATTGATCAGACATAAACAAAATTCAAAAATTGAAGATGGGGCACTCGAAGGCAGTCTTGGCAGAGTCACAAAGAACAGCAAATGGGCCTCAGTGCCTGACTGACCTGAATCTCAGACTCTCTGTGGCCTTGAGCAAGTTGTCATGTGACTTCCCTGAGCTCCCCTTTCTTAAAAGATTGGAACTGCTATGTGAAATAAGGCCACAGTGGCATGTGCCCACTATTTGGTGCTTATTTCTCCCTATGGAAATTGCTTTTTAAAAAGTTAATGGTAGAAGACAACCTTAAAGGTTTTCCTTCATTTTCCCCCTTCTTTCTGTTCTTTTTTATTTACTCTAAATTATGATTGGGAACATAAACTAAGACTCCTTTAGAGCCATAAAGAAAAGACAGACTCTGAACCAGAGAAAGGATAAAGATGGAGAAAGAAAGATACTAAAAATATCCACTAAACTAACATTTAGAATAAGCAGTTTTTCCTTCCTCAGGTTTTCTGCTATGTAAGGGTCTTGATTAAGCTATTTGAATAACTCATTTTAACTTGCTGCTTGAGACCTAGGAAACGAATCCATAAACACACAGAAAATGTTTTGGAGATGAGAAGTAGGGAATCGTGTTTCTAATTGAACTACCACTCCTATGTATGCACGGTCTGCCAACAAACCACAATGACTTCCTAAACTAACCAAAGTTATAAACCTCTGTTTTCCATGGTTTCCACTTTTGCTATGCCAGACTTTAAAAAAAGAAAAAGGTTTTTCCCATGTTGAAGGCTTAATCCCACTCTCCTACTCTCCAGATAATACTGGATTTCATAGAAACCTGGAAAAGCCTTAATAGTTTGAAAATATCCTGTTAAAATAGCCATTTATAAGGGCTTCTTTTCCTAATGGAGAAATGCTAAAAGTTTATGCTTTTCCACAATCCCAACCTATAAATTTATTGGGTAACTTGGTTTTGTAATCCAATCATTTGAACTGCTCTATTTGATTAGGGTCCAGAAGAAGAAAGGAAATAAATACGTTCTGAGAGGCCTCTATTTAGTTAGATTACTAACTCCTTACTATTACTATACTGTTAAGAAAGTCCTGGGAAAATCATGAAAATGAAGTAAAGGTCAAACTCCTTAGATGGAAAGAATTTGAAGATTCTCTGGGTTTTTTTGAAGCACAATAAAAATCACACATGGCAAGAAACCTCATCTGTTGAAAGATTAATTGGTCTGTTTTCTTTGCTTGCTTCCTTCCTTCAGGAAACCTTTCCTCATAACATTACATGTTTACCTAATATCTGATAATATCCAAATTTATCTTTCCTAATGAAATAGTTCTATGTGTTTCCCTGTCTCAGGGATCTGTGACTTTGGTTCATGTTTTCTGTATATCTGATTTTTTCATAGTCCTTATCACTTCAGGTGCACTGTGATCCTAAATACTTTTAAAGGGCTGAAATTAATTTTTTATAACATTTTATTTTTATTTTTAAGTAATCTGTACACCCAATGTGGGGCTGAAACTTACAACCCTGAGATCAAGAGTTGCACAGTGTACCAACTGAGCCAGCTAGGTGTTAAAGGGCTGAAATTAATTTTAATGAGTATTAAGAGCTTAAAATTTTATTAACATTTTTCACATTGGCAAAACAAAAACCAATTTACAACCATATTTTGAAGGCAGAATCTATATTATTAACGCTATAGAATGAAATGTGTCTTTATGTCCCTTGTGTGTACCTCCCAGCAACCTTAAGTAACAGTGCTTTTCTTATGTCATAGAACAAGAAGCTCATCTGAAATGAACCTCTTCTTTTGGGCTCTGGACTATACTTTCTTTCTATCACATTTATTGTCTGTACCACTTACTTGATTATACCTAGGGCTATTGGTTAACTTACCTTTCTTAACCATACTGAATGGTCAGCCTCTCAATCATATTGTATGTTCTTTGAGAGCACAGGTTTTTGTGTGTACTTCTTTATTTTTTTTTTAATTTTTGGGGGGGACGCCTGGGTGGATCAGTGGTTGGGTGTCTGCCATTGACTCAGGGTGTGATCCTGAAGTCCCAGGATTGAGTCCCACATCAGACTCCCTACATGGAGCCTGCTTCTCCCTCTGCCTGTGTCTCTGCCCCTCTCTCTCTCTCTCTCTCTCTCTCATGAATAAATAAATAAAAAATCTTAAAAAAAAATTTTGGGGGGAAAGATTTATGTATTAGAGACAGCGAGTGCACACCTGAGCAGAGGAAAGGACAGAGAGAGAGGAAGAAGCAAACTCCCCACTGAGTGGGAAGCCCAACGTGGGGCTCCATCCCAGGACTCCAGGACCATGACCTGAGCTGAAGGCAGACGTTTAACTGACTCAGCCACCCAGGCATTCCTGTGTCTACTTCTTTATAAAGAACACTGCACACAACCCAGGATAAATGTTTGGTGGTTGGTATCTTCGTTTTATTGCCATTGTTTGAAAGAATTTTGTTTCTTTCATCTTACAGATCAGGACTAACAGAAACCTACCAATGGTAAGAATGTGGCCCTTAATCATTCTTATTCTAGCTATTGGTCTGATTGTTATGTAGGTTTTATATGTATTCCCTAAGCACTGTGGAAGAGTATTAAGAATGAATAGGTAGGTTCTCAGAAGATTACTTATTCCCTTTTAGTGCTGGAAAAATAGTAATAATATAGGCTGCCTTTTATTTATTACTTATTGTGTGCCACATAACTGTGTTAAAATTTTAATGTATTTTTTTAAAAGATTTACTGATTTATTTGAGAGAAAGAGAGAACGCAAACCAGGAGAGAGGCAGAGGGAGAGAGAGAATCCCAAGCAGCCTCCCCACTGAGCATGGAGCCGGATGAGAGGCTCAATCCCAGGACCCTGAGATCATGACCTGAGCCAAAATCAAGAGCCAGGCCCTCAACCAAGTGAGCCATCCAGGCACCCCTGAATGTATATTTTCTAATGTAATTATTATAGCACCTTGTGAGTTAGGTACTATTTTCATCTCTTTTTTATTACCCCTCCAGACCTAAGGCTGAGAGATACTAACTAACTTAAAACCACACAGAAGCATAGAGCTGAGGCTTTGTTCCTATCTTTTTAGCTTCAGTTTCTCTCTGTGTGAAACTGGGGTTTGAGCTAAATGATCCCTAAAATCTATAGAAATCTAAGCTGCATAGAGGGAAGATCACTTGTCTGTATTCATACATTTACATCTCCAAAAGTGTTCTGATTTTCTTTCTGCAGACCCTTTCTTCAAGTACTTTTCGATATATACAAATTATGTAATTATATTTTTATAGTAGCATTCCTTCATATTAATTATTAGTATTCTTAATTCGTTTGCTATCCTCAGAAGAAGGAAGAGTCAAATTACACACCCTACTTTTGATAATGGAAGAGCTAGATTATAGAAATGCCAAAGCCTAAAATTACGTTCAGGTCATGACCTTTGAATGCCTTATTATATACCAGTAGTGACCTTAGGCATACTTAAATCTCTCCAAGTCTTGGTTTTCTTGGCTGTGAAATGGAATAATAGTATCTACTTAACAGGATTATTGTGAGGATAAAATGAAACAATGTAGGTTAAGTATCTACCTAGAATGGAACCTCAGTTTCTTTTCAGTTGCTTTTCCTTTTCTTTCTTTTGTTCTCAGCCTTATTAGGTAGATGAACCTAACCAAGCAAGCTTATGCATTTGCCTGTTTTTGTCTGCCTACAAGATAATCTTCATAGTGGGGAAAAACTAGCTAGATCACAAATTCTAATTGTTGGTTAAATAAGTTTAGGCCTTTTTAGTCTTTATTAACCATTCCAGTACTATTCTTGTCCCAGCTAAAGTTTTCAAACTTTTAAAATTTCTAAATAAAAATATCTAGTATTTGAATCTGCTTCCCTTTATCTGGTAATCATATAATATTTTAAAGGTGGAAGGGATTTAGAAATCTTCAAGTTTGTAGTCTCTACTAGTGTTCCATTCCACTGTGAGTAGCCACCCCAAGTGTCAGAAAATTTACTCACTTCCTATTTCTACATGCCAAATGTAAGTCACATTTATAACTAGTTCCACAAATTTCATACCATCTCTTCTACAGTCTGGCTACCTTAGAATCAATTTAACAACAATCAAAAATAAAAAATCCAACAAATGCATATATGTTCAAAAACTTGTTTTTTATAAGTGGATTTTGTCTATATATCAAAGCAAAGGCAAGAAAAATGCTATAGACTGAATCCATCTGCTGAATTCATTTTCCAGACATGTATGCCCGTGTATACATTGACGTATGAGAAATTTAGAGATAGCTAAAGCTATTGCTGGACTTCTAGCAGCCAGCCCAGATCCTGCAGATATTTATGGCAGGTGGTTTGATAGGCCTTTCATCTCATTTTCTCAGTAAATGAAAGTATATCCTGTCCTCATGCCTTATAAACTTAAAAGTTAATTCAGCTACAAAATATTTCATTTACTCAAGATTGTGCTTCTTCCATTATTCCTGATAGTTCTTAATAATCTGAAGTTTTATACTAGATATCCTATTTATTGATCCCTCACTTAATTGTAATTCACCTTGTTGCAATTCATCTTTTAGAAAGATAAGTATTCAATCTTACTTGTCTAAAATACTGATACATGTGGTCATTATTATTAATAGTGGGGAAATAAGTGATAGTCTTTTTTTTATTTTATTTATTTATTTATTTATTTGAGAGAGTGAGAGCGAGCGAGCATGAGGGGGAACAGAGAAAGAGAAGCAGACTCCTTATTGAGCATAAAGACCCCAGCGCAGGGCTTAATCCCAGAACCCCCATATCATGACCCTAGACAAAGACAGACGCTTAGCCCACTGAGCCACCAAGGCAACCTGTGATAGTTTTTATTCTTGAAAAGCCATATGAGTACTAGCTATGGCACTTAAGTTTTATTCTAGAACTGATTTTACAAATTATTCAAGAAGCTATAACTGGGACGCCTGGGTGGCTCGGAGAATCTGCCTTCGGCTCAAGGCGTGATCCTGGAATCAGGATTGAGTCCCCCATTGGGTTCCTTGCAGGGAACCTGCTTCTCCCTCTGCCTATCTCTCTGCCTCTGTCTCTCTGTGTCTCTCATGAATAAATAAATAAATCTTTAAAAAAAGAAAAAAGAAGAAGCCATAACTTGCTTTTAATCAATATTGTATAACTAAAGAATTCCCCCACCAAATGACATAGTAAAAATACTTACAAAGTCTTCCTCCTCTTCCTTTAGTGAAATACATTTATTACAGTCTGGTGTGTTGAATTCTGAATTCAAATCATGACTGTACCATTTTCTAGCCATGGGATCTCAAATGGGAATTGAATGAGTATAAACAAAGCTTCAGAGCCTATCTAGCCTTCCAGAAAAATGACTCTGGACTTATTCCACTAGGTTTGAAGCACAGAACTGGAAATTTCACTCTAGCATTCAAGAGTATATTTTTGTGCCTTCAAACAATAAATTGTCATAGAGTTAGTAAAGCATCTACTCTAGAGCAGACCCTGGAGATAAAAGGTTGAATAGGACACAGTTCCTGCCCTTTATAGAGCTCATAGTCTAATCAAGTAGGGGCATCCTTTTATGATTTATCAAGCAAAACCCTTCACTCTCCTATGTGTATTAAACAACATGATTTTAGTAAGAAAAAAGCATTAACATATTAAGACATAGAAGTAGAATGCATTTTCAAGAAAATTAACATTTTTTGTAACTTTGTGAGGCAGGTTTTCTGTATGTAAGTCCATAAATGACTTAAAAAGGATCAAGTGACCAAAGCCCATTAATGCATGACAGAATTTGCTGCTGTTTGAGTAAACCTTCAACAGATCATTTTAACTTTTCTGTGTCCTTCACCTGTCCTTGGAAGGAAAAGATTTGTTTACCATGATGATGTGAATAATAACAAATCGTTGCAGAATACTTTTGAAACAAAATCCTGTCACGACGTCTGATTCAGCGCAGCATCTATAGATGAGGATTCTCTGTTTTTCAAAATCAGGTACCTGGACCTCCGTCGATTTGGATCTGTTCCCCATGGAGGTTTTGGGATGGGATTTGAACGCTATCTCCAGTGCATCTTGGGAATTGACAATATCAAAGATGTTATCCCTTTTCCAAGATTTACTCATTCATGTATTTTATAGCCGGAAGACTGGTTAAGGAAAATTAACCTGTGCCAGACGTACTGCATGTGAATATGCATACAGGAGAATGCATGTTTGAATTTTAGAAATGCAGAAGGTTTCAGTATGTAATTGTCATGCCATAAGATAGAGCATATGAAAAATAGAACTGATCATAATTTTCCTAGAAAGTTGAGAGCATTTCATGGGAAGATGAACTCCCTCAAGAAGAGGTACTTGTAGCAGGTAGCATCTCAAATCTATTATGTGAAGTAAGAAGAAATGAAGAGACTGAACCATAGTCTGAAAGGTCTTTTCAAACTCTCAAGACATGATGAGATGGTATTTTAATTTGTCTTTAATCATTAGATCACTGCCTTCTGTGACCTTTGAGAAACACTTGTAGCTAAAAAGAATGTTTTTTGGATCATTTCTCACGTGCCATTTAACCTATGATAAATGCCCATCTTATTTTCATCAACTTACTAGACATCACAGAAAAAAATATTCCTATAGGGGTCCTTAAGTTACTATTCTGAATTGAAATCTTTCATCAGACTGGGTGAAAACAGTCACATTTAATAACTGTTGATCTTTAATTATAAAAATGAATGAGATGTATTAATTATCTAAACTAACGACTGTTGTTATAATTTGTTTATAATAGATGTTTATAACTTCCCTGATAATAAAATAGATTTTTTTACCTATGAAAGAAAAATACAGCTAAATTTTTAAATTCCACTTGGCCTTTTCCCAATGAAATTTGGAAGAAAAGTATTTTCATTGCAAGATGATGATACAAATATAGCTAAACCTAAAGGATGGGTAATTTGGGATTCAATAAGTAACATTGTCGGACGTCTGGGTGACTCAGCAGTTTAGCGCCTGCCTTCAGCCCAGGGTGTGATCCTGGAGTCTGGGATCGAGTCCCATGTTGGGCTCCCTGCGTGGAGCCTGCTTCTCCCTCTGCCTATGTCTTTGTCTCTTTCTGTCTATCACATGAATAAATAAATAAAATCTTTAAAAAAAAAAGTAACATTGTTACTTTTATTATTAGTTATTGAGAGGATTGCTGATTTGGGAGTTGAGACCTGACAATTGTAGCACTTTATGTGTATGTTTTTGGACAAGCCACTTACTCTGTATGAGCTCATACATCATTTTCCTCAGAGTTGATATAACAATTATATGAAAGTGTGTGTATATGTGTGTTTAAAACTGTGAAATGCTACACAAATTGTTTTTAACTCTTTTAGTCCTTATTGAGTTACATACCTATGGACTTAGAGCAAAGTTGTATACTCAGTAGAGTTTGTATGTATCAAATGATGGTAAACGGCAGGCATACCTGAATAATCAATTTTCTCTGTCTCATTAGATAATTTATCTTAGGTTATTTCCTAATGACTTTGTATATGTACTTTATTTTATTCTAACTCAAAGCAAACAACTGAAAAGAACTGCAGAACCTTAGAGCTGGAAATCACAGAAGTTACTGAGATGTTCTCATGACCAAACTTCTGCCTGATGCAGAGAGATCCTGTACACCTGGGCAGCCTCTCTTCTTGGCAAAGTGCTCAGTATCCCACAAACTAGCTCATTCCATTTCTGCATCTAATTGGTAGCTTTTGCTGAGCTAAAATCTACTTTCCTAAAACTTTAATCCCCTGGGCTTAGATACCAAGTTTATGATAGTACAAAGAGGTAATTAGGGCTTTCATAAGGCTTGCCTCAATCATGAATTAAAGATAAATTCATTTGTTTGTTTGACAAATACTATTTGAGCTTATTCTATATGCCAACAATGGCTGGATGCTAAATAAATGATAATGAACAAAACAGAAATGACCCTTGCCTTCATGGAGTTTACATTCTATTCGAGAAGATACACAATCAGTAAGCAAACAAATCTTTTATTTCAAAATATGATGTAAGCTATAAAATTTTATAAAGAGCAGGGCAGGCACAGATAAGGTTGCTAGAGAAGGCATCTCTGAACAGGTGATCTTTAACCTTAGACCTGGGAGATAAATGCAAAAACCATTCTAAAACATTTGCAGGATCAATCAGTATTGATTTGACACTCAGGTCTTGATGCTGTATTAATCTTGTGGCATGAGAATCACACTCACAGGCCCCCAACCTGGAGGCACTAATATTTTCTGAGGCTATCAGGAATCATGTCTCCAGTGATTCTTGAAGAACCAGATAGAATTCTAATGTTAACATTACATCCTAAGTAACAGTGATATAAAGAATCATGAATCAGAGAAACCCCAGGTTCCCATCTCAGTGCCACCATTGATGTCACTGTGTAGCACTAATCAGGCAGGGTCATCTTTGTGCCCTCCATTTATGTCACCTGCAGAATTGTTGTTTCCAAGTGCATCAACTCTAAGGATTCTTCTTCTGTCTCTTGATCTTTCAGGAATTTGTGCTACAGATAGTCACTAATAATAATTGATTTAGAGTCTAACCTTTACATTTTTAGTACCCACTACATCTCCCAAAAATGGACAGTGAAGTTAAATCACTGAAAGTTTTATGATAGACTTCAGTATGTTCATTGTATATGTATGGGGTGGGATGAGAGAAGGTCCTTCTCAAATAAACATTGTTCCTCGCCTTTTCCATAATCTTCAGCAGTATATTTCCCAACTTTCATACTTACTTATTCTTTTCCTCTGCAATTGATCACAGAACAGATATCTGGTTGAAGCCAAACACTTGCCACTCATAACAAGCCTCAAAATTTGCATCTTTGGCTCAATACTTTTATTTTACCAGTAATTGAACAACAAATACTAGTATTAGACAAAGATGAAAATGCCAGAACTAAGCAGCAACAGCAGGAAAGAAACTTTAAAATGTCCATCTGTCAACTGGTGTATATAAATATCCAAATTCTACAGATAAACAGCATCATATAATTCTGTATAATGAATAGAAGTATAGATTTAATAGTTGAGGACTGCCTCTACTATAATAATATTCTTAAAGGACTTTGTGAGAGAAAAGGTGATTTGAGGGTGTCTTTATTTGAATAACCAGTTTCCAATGAGGGAAAAATGAGATTCTGTTTTCCCAAGATTTCCAAACATCACCTCAAAATAGTAACCCCAGCCACCCAAGAAAGAGAGTATTTTGAAACTTTGAAATGGTTTTTCCATCATTAATTTCCATTCTCATTTCAAATTTTGAAGTAGGTGGAGAAAAATAGTTACTTTCCATCTGGCTGTCCTCTTGCCTGGGGAAGTTGTGCTGTCTTTTTTTTTTTTTTTTTTTTTTTTCTTTTTTGGTCTGACAAGAACTTAATTGTGTGAGTGATCCATTCCAGATCTAGACATAACTCTCCCACCCTCTGACCCAGCCCAGAGACTAACTGTCACACAACAGCAAAGGAACTGTTTGACCTTTTGTCCCTCTCAGACAGGATCTGGCAGAAGCACCCCTCTACAATGTTATACATTCATAGTCTCTATAAATTGAATCTAGACATTCAAGCATGACTGGACAGGCATTGAAGATGCAATTGGTGAGATAGATTAACTCTACTCTTCTTTAAACCTCTTGTTTCAGATAATTATAGATGAAAGATGCTTATTTGGATTGGATTGCTATTTATTCATATATTTATTTTAGTAAGTGGTGAGGCAAGAACATAAAAATGCAGAGTTGAAAGACAGATTGGCCTGGATTGAATTGATAAGAAATGTGTGGGGCTTTTTGGCTTCTGATCAATATTTGTATTCAGTCTGCAATCTAAAGTATGTATAATAAAAAGAAAACAGGTGGGAGTAATATCTGATGGTAGTTTCTTCCCAGTGTAGAGTCCAAATTAAAAGAAAAAGCACTAAGGACAAAAAATAATCTTAACCTACACCAAAATGATTAATAGGACTTCCATAAGACGCATCTTGTTAGATCATAGTCAACACACCTCCAGAAACCCTAGACTTTTTGCCATTACCAGGAGCCCTGGATTACCCCTCTGAGTAGCTAAGGCCCCAGTTAGCTCTTAGGCAGTCTGATTGGGAGTCCAGTGAATTTACAGCCATTATTAGCACACTGTGTGGGAGTTTCTAGAGGAACTTTGTGAAGAAGGCAGGAGTTTTTGTGTTTCTTAAACTGTCATTCAGGCAGCTGTTGAATTAACATAGCTCCTGACTGTTCAGTAACTTTATGCTGCCTCCTTTATTGTTCATAATTGCTACCATTTGAACATCGCTTTACAGTTTACAAAATGTTTTAATGTATTCACAGTGTATTCTGGATTTTGTTCTTTTGTAGCTTACCATGCTCCAAATTCATTTGATTTAATAAAAGATTAGTTTATTTGTTATGAGGATTGGTTATTAGGGATTCCTGGTATCTGAGGAGAGTAAGACTGCAAATAAAGCTCACCACTCTTAGCCTGCAGAGAAACTGAAAGCCCAGAGGTCTGTAGTAACCAAAGAATTTTGTATCTTCAGCCCCAGAGTTTAGTGGACATGTTGCAAAACACACACTTTGGCCTCTGATTTCCTTGTTTTACACAAGGAGAAGAGATTTAAGAGTGTGCTGGGAAATGACAATTGAGTTCAAATGCATTCTAGTAAAGAGAAACACTGACAATGGAATAAAAGGTCCTGGACCCAGCAGTGTGCTAAAGCTTGCTATGTCTCATTTTTTAAAATGAATTTATTTATTTCTGCAAAATACAGCTAGAACTGTATTTTTCAGAATGTGGGCCATTTGCAGCTGTGACTCTTTGACTTACAGTCTCTGCACGCTGGCTGAATAGTAACTGCTTTGCTGTTTTTGTAGGATCCTGGATTTGAAAAATCTCTTAGAGATCTTTCTTCCCCTTGTCTATGATGTGTAACCTATCCTCCCCTGTATTTTCCCAGGTCCTGGTAGTTTACCCACTCACTATCCCTTCAATGAGTAGGAGCTTTCTCCCTAAGATAGAACTTTTTCTATGCTTGGAGAACTCTGACCTAATAGTACAGAAACCTGCCTCTCTATAGCAAGTGTAGTAAGCCAGAAACACAGCAACACCGTTTCTTTTCCCCAGCCTTCTGTTCTCCAGGATAGAATCTCTGTAACTGCTCAGATGGACAATCTGCCCTTCTCTGAAGGACTGTACCCCACTAGATTATTCATCAGGCATTGTTATCCTTAAAATGGGCCTTTTTCTTGGCAGAGGAATGCTTCCCTCCACTGTCCACCCAGCTGCTATGCAAGTACGGTCTGATACCAGTTTTGGTATTAGAAGAGCTTCAAAGTCTCCAATGCCTCCTTGCCAGCTGTCTTGCAGCCTGTAGTAACGTTCTTCAGCCTGTATGTGTAATAATTGCTGACGAATCCTAATTGCAGCCTCACAGTGTTCAGGGCAGTCCCAGCCCCTTCCATTTGAGGATCGCAGTAATGGATTTGGGTTATACGCACATTTGTTGTTGAAGAACAGTAAGTTTTTTCACTGAAGACTTCCATTAATATGCATTTTCTTTGCAGTGCCCCAAAAGGCAGGAGCTCATTCCTGTTCAGTTAAGATATAGCTGACCGATGATCCCTTTAAGTGTAATTTCCGTCTTTCACATTCTGCACTACAGGTTTTACATCAGGAAACTGTTGGGTCAAGTTCCTGCCAGAAAATGTGGTGCATGTTCAGTGTCTTGGAAAGCACATTAGAGAGGGAGAGAGGACTCTGATTTAAGTGTTGACGTTCTACTTTTGAACAGTGGGACCTTGAGCAAGTTATTTTACCTGTGGGTTTGGATAGGCATCTGCGGGATGAGGGTAGTCCTTATCTTACAAAATGCTGTGAGAAACAATGAAGGCATGTAGAAGGGTTTCATAAACTGCACAAATGGGCAGCCCTGGTGGCTCAGCTGTTTAGCGCCGCCTTCAGCCCAGGGCGTGATCCTGGAGACCCGGGATCGAGTCCCACGTCAGGCTCCCTGCATGGAGCCTGCTTCTCCCTCTGCCTGTGTCTCTGCCTCTCTCTCTCTCTCTCTCTCTCTCTCTCTCTCTCTCTCTGATGAATAAATAAATAAAATCTTTAAAAAATAATAAAAATAAACTGCACAAACTTCATAAGATCTCCTAAGGGGGAAACCTTTTCAAAACTCAAAAAAATCTGTATGAACTAAGATGTTTATTGCATGCTGAATGAAATATTTATAGCCATTAAAAATTATAGGAGAAAATATGTTGAAAAAAATGTCAAATTGTAGTTTGTAACTACA